GTGACAATGCTCACTACTTTTTCAGTTTCGTTTAACATAGGAATACAAACTTCCACGGGACAAAATATAGATGAGAAAACCGCATAATATTACGATTACAAAATAGCGCTTTTGTCTCTGTTTTGGTCGGACCAACCAATGCTTCTCTTCAAGGTTGTACAGTGTATTTCTAAATTCTAATTATTGTATTATACGGTACATGACCAGTTGAGATTATAGCATATGTGTAAGATAAAAAAACAAAATTTAGGTTCATTCTTATGTTGTCATTGTTATGTTTTAAATGATTATGGATTTCCTTTTGATGTTTGATCCATTTTTGCTTTCTTTCCCTACAATTACAAGTCGCTTCAAAGTTCAAACTAATATTTAATTATGTCGATTTTAAGTGGATATATGTATATTATTTCCTCGCATGTTTAAGTTTTTCATTTGTGTGGTTTAATGATTACTGAAAAATGGTGTGTAGTTTTTGATGACATGCAGTCTTTTTCTCTGTACTCTTTTAGTTTTGACTAATACAAAATCGAGTTGCGTATATAAAACTATTGTGTCTTACAAAGATTTTGATGAATTGATGAGCGAGCGGATTTTGTTTTTTGATACAATATAAAAAAGAATACAAATTTATGGACAATAGATATATGTGTGACATATATCTTTGAACATACAATGAAAAAATGAAGAATTCTTATTTGTACAGTGAAAAAACATATATCTTTGAACATACAGTGGAAAATTCTTATTTCTATAATCTCGCAAAATCATGTGTACTACTGAAAAAAAACTAAATTAGTTTTATGTTTTAACTAAAAAACATTCAATCTATATTTATTTTTTTAAAAGAAATTAACGTCCAGTATAAGTTATATCATCAAAGTTTTTAGAAGCATAAAAAGATATTTCACAATCATATAGTAAAATGAGATGTCATTTTCACTTCTAAACTAATATAATGTTTTTAATCATTATTATATAAAAAAAACCAGCATTATTTTTCTTTGTTATAAAAATAATAACAAAAATAAGATTTATGTCGTTTGTAATAAGATTTATGTCGTTTGAAACTAATATTTATGCCTGTTTCGTCTAAATATATGATAAGTTTTTTTCTTGTAACAAAATTTTTTTTTTTTAGTCGAAGTCTTGCAACAAAATATTTATGTCGCATTTTTGATTTATTTTAGATTGGCACATAAGCTTGGAATTTAGGCATATAGTATAATTTTTGTGTCAATTTATATAGTAAAACTGAATAGTCCGCACATGCTCGGGTAAAAAAACTAGTTATTAAAATAAAAGACCAAAAAAAATATTTATTGAGAAGACTAAGAACGGCGTCGTTCAATGCCCTAACGCAACATTCCCGATTGAA